CCATGTGATCATGTGACTGATCGATTAACAGTGAAAATTAATTTAACTCATTCACTCATCTTAAACAACTGTTTGTTACAAAAATATAAAATTTTTCATGTTATGTGGTTATTTGAAATTTTTTTCTTTATTATCTTATTACAGTTAATGATGGTTTTTAATTTCCTAACCCTGGCTTTCCACTGGATGCATAAGTGAGAGGATAGAGGATAACACCCATGATCTCCCTTCCCACTGGAAGCCTTTTAGATGTGAAATGACAGCAAAAGTGTTCCATGCAGCGGGTCCAGCGATCTCACGAAGTGACCGGAGAATTGCTCGACCACGCGCGATTTCAGCAGTTCACCCAATAACAAGTAATGAGAAAGATGGCAGCAAGTATCCAAAAAGGTCTGTGGGTTATTTCTGTTTGATTTTCCTCGGCTGCGAACGTTAAACAGGCTCTTTTCACCCCCAAATAATATTCTTCTTGGTAACTGCAAATGAAAATAATAAGTAACATGAAGGAATTACTAGAGACTATTTAGACTTGGGACTACATGATTACCACAAAGCACTGTTGAAAGGCGCAAGAACACAACAAAGGCATCTGTTTTTTCTGTCACAGGAAATATGGCAACAGATCAATTTCACTTTGGTGTGGAATATAGATGTATCGTAGCCTGGCAAGCCAGACTAGATAAATGTATTATTTAGTCTGGCAACGCTCCATTGACGGCTCTCGGTTGTGGGGCGGGTTCAACCGTTGTCTTTCAAATGATCTCCAAATGCTACTGGACAATGAATGTGACATACTCACCGCAACAGCAATCGGTAAATGAGGCGGTCCGCAGTTGAAGAAGGAGAAAACGCATCATTTTTTCTAAATAAAAGCACTTAAATACATCTATCTGCTCCTGATTCTGATGAAGCCCAAGTTCTAATAGTCCAAAATTGATGTAAACGCCGTTTCAAACGAGCTGTCGCCGTCTTGTTTCACTCTGTTGCATCATCCCACCCACCAGGCATATAGAGTGCCCTGATTGGCCCACAAAGTGGATAAAGCTCTATGATTTGTTCACTAAGCAGATGGAGCACTATGATTGGCCCACCATTATGGACCAATCACAGCTCTTTATGTGTTTGAAACCCCTCTAGAGAGCTGTGATTGGCCAGCCAGAATGATGTTGGGCCTGCAGAGGTTCCAGTGGAGCGTTCCTAGACCAAACTTTGCAAAGCAAGAATTTGGTCTTGTTCACTAGGCTAAATGTATCGTGCAATTTGTAAAACTTCTTAAGTGAAATAATCACAAAATCGTCTTATGTCTCAATCTTGCTGGAAGGAACATTGAAACAGATTTCATTCTCAGCTGGCTGGGGGGTTGTAAGATTTTCTCCTTTCAAAATGGTCAAAGAGAATTGGTCAATAGTCTTTGTTAACAAATTCTGGGTTTGAGTTTATTTCTTATACTTGTGTGTAAGAAAAGTGTCTATTATGTGCACCAAATGCTTTGTTCACGACTTAGGTCAGCGGTCATGCTGTTTTTGTATAAGTCTCTAATAAACAGATTTGACTTCACTGGACTTACATCCTGTCCCACCTCCATACTTCCTGGTTCCAGAACCAAATCCTATACAGTGTGAGCTTGCATTGTTGCCAAGTCTTCAACATGAACACAGCAATGGCGCTTGTAATTACACACCAGCCAACAAAAAACAGCAGTGTTGTGGAAAGAATGTGAGCCGGTAAACCGCAGCGACAGAAGTTACTTCTTGTACCCCTAAGAAGCCACGACATCTTTATGGTTCACTCCAGTATCCGGTAAAGAAGGCTAGAGGCTAACATCAAGCTAACAATGCTAACGGTGACGTAGAAGCAAATAATAGGCTCTAAAATATCTCAAGCTACCTTTTCAAATACCAACAATTAGCTGTCACAGTGAGTTGTATTTATCTACTTATCATCTTACTGGTTATGACTCGTCTTTGCTTGCCGTCTAGAATGTTCTGGTGCTGATCCGTAGCTGGCAACAGTTGCTCAGAGCAAACTTGTTTGTTTTGAAACATGGACTGCAATATTCTAATGTCATTCCTACGTCATGCACCTTTATCTAATTGTAGTATTTATGCTTTAAATAATCTTATAGGTCAGGTAATCTGTAAGTGATGCAAACCTGATGGTGCAGTAAAGTTTTAAAAATATTGTAATTCTGCTGTTTGGCTTTGTTCTGTTATATTCAGACTAGCTGTTAGCTCATCAATCCCGAAGAACATTTATACCACTTCTCTGAACCTTCAAGCCATTTAAAGCAGGTTGAAAACTATTTATAACTTTGAAACAGAAACACAGTTCTAATGTGAAAAATAACCCGTTTTAGTCATGTGGACTTCAGTGGGTTTTTTGTATAATATAATAATAATAATAATAATGATGATGATGCATTGAACTTATATAGCGCTTTTCTAGACACCCAAAGACGCTTTTCACACACTCTCACATTCACACACTGCTAGTGATGGTAAGCTACTTGTAGCCACAGCCGCCCTGGGGAGGTCTGACTGAGGCGAGGCTGCCATTTGGTGCCGTCGGCCCCTCTGACCACCACTAACACAGGCAAGTTGGGTGAAGTGTCTTGCCCAAGGACACAACAGCAGGATACCCCTGGCAGGAGCTGGAATCGAACCCATGACCCTCCGATAATGGGGCAACCCGCTCTACCACCTGAGCTACTGCTACCCCAATTAGGAGATCATGGTGGTCCCAAGTGTAAGGAGCCCAAACCACCATCCCTCCTCCACCATGCTGAACTGATCTGCTGTGTTTGGTTTCCTGCTGTGCAGTTTGGTCAGATTGCTCCACTTTGGTCCAAAGGACACAGTTTCACAAGTGTTCATGTTTGTTCAGATGCAAGTTTTCTAACCAAAGCTGTGCTGCAATGTTATTTTTACAGAGAGGAGGTTTTCTTCTGGCAAGTCTTCCTAACAAGTCAGCGGTCATTCTCCAATTGTCATGAGCTTCAATCTGAGATGAACTTCTAATTGCAGAGATCTTTCCAGATGTAATTATCTTTAACACAAAATCAGAATATCTGCTTTTGTGCAGGTGCCCACATTAAGTTAAACAACAACATTTGACTAGCAGGGATAATAAAAGTAGAAAAGTAATTTGTGTTTCTTATCTCACCAGCGGCGTGTCCAGATCTTTTAAAATGGGGTGGCCCAGTTGAGGCACAACTTTGAGCATGGGTGGCACCAATGGTTATGCTTTATTTGTTTTTCCCCCAAGCCTTTTGTGGACAATGAGTACGTTTACATGCAGCCAATATCTGGGTTGTGATCAGGTTAAGGTCGGTATTCGGGTTTCTGAGTTATCAGAATAACTCGTTTACAAGCATAAATAGAAAGAGTTACCCCTAACTTGCATAACCCGATGTAAATGCGGACGTTGGGGTAGCGTCACGACGTATGGACTACGTCCTGACGCAATACGCCTCATTTCCGGTTCTTCTTGTTCCGGTATCCGTGAAAACAACAACATGTTTCCCAGTTCGGAAGAGATAGTGACCGTGTTTGTTTGCGCTTTAGCTTCCTCGTCACTCCAAATGTGTGGTGCTGTGCCGCGACTCGCCATGTTGCTCCCAACTTGTTGTTTACTTCCGGTGTTCTGGCGCATACAAGACGTCTCGCTACTCAAAAGACCAAGATTCCTTGCGAACAGAGCATATGCAGAACACACGCTTTGATGGGGATATCCCGGTATGCGTTTACACGACGAACATTCGGGTTAGAAAAGGGTTACCCCAGGTGTAGTAGCCGGGTTTTAAAAAACCCGGTTATGAGCATATCCGGGTTTTTGGCGGTGTTTACATGGACCTGCGGAACCGGGTTATTGCGAATATTCGGGTTTTAAAAGGGTTACTGGCTGCATGTAAACGCACTGAGTGAAAAGCCTATTTAAAGGTAAATTAGTGTGCTGGCACCTGGGGTGGCCAATCAGATTCCAAGGGTGGCATGTGCCACCCCAGGCCACTCCCTGGACACGCCCCTGTATCTCACGGACAGAATTTAAATACAGTCACAATCTCTTGATGGTGCTCTTTTCCTGAAACTCAGTATTTTGTTCACATTTGAATTTAAGTGCAAACCTCCACTGTGTGAAGCGATCTGCATGAAGAAGACATGACCTCACACATGACCTTGTGTTTATGGAAATAAGGATGCTACATTTTCACGGGTCAGAGTTGTGACGCCGACACAGGTCAGTGTTGGACAAAAGGCTGCATGAACGACCAGACTGGGGTCGATTTAGAACATCAGACATGTGCCTTTAGGACCACCTCACATCAAATGAGACAGATTTAGGACACTATTTGCTGCCGAATGTAGCCTAAGTAAATGCTCTTTTTGTGATTTTTTACTGCTTACCCTACATCAGTGTGAAATATACTGCAGTTCCAACTGAATATGAATAATAATCACAACACATAATAAGAGCTTTTACACAATCTTGGCCTTCTGCCACCTGCAGAAGTTTGCAGTTGATGTCACATTTTGGAAATGTGGGGAGTGAATTTTGAAAATAAGAAAAATAGCATTCATCATGCATGTCAATAATAATAATAATAATAATAATTTTAGTCACGTTTTTAGTTTTGTTTAATTTTGTCTCATTGAAGCCGTCTACGTGCTGACAGAAGCAAACACCTGAGCAGAAATAATCAGATGTGTACTTTCACTTATAGACCCAAGACACATGTGCCAGATTGTTTGTTTGTTTGTTTGTTTTGTTTCTTATAAACCAAAACACATTAGACGTTTTGCTGATAAAGCTGCATTTTCTCATGTAATGAGCGTCATTATCTCTGAACCTTTGTTTGACTCGACCCAGGCTGGTTACAGGAAACAGCCGCAGTGAAAGGCCAGAGCTTTATGTAACAGGAGATTATAATTAGCAGATAACTGGAGCATGGACCCAGCTGGCCCTCTCACAACACAAAAGCTCTAGATCGCCAAAAGCAGCACCTTGGAACTTGAAGCTCTCCAGGTGGACCCACAGAGACAGGTCCTCGGTGTCGCACTGGCAGCTCCAGGGGTTCCCGCTTAGCCCCACGGAGCGCAGGCCCGGCTGGGCGATCAGGGACGTGATGTTGAGGAACGTCAGGTTGTTCCGGCTCACGTCCAGCACCTGAAGGGCCTCGTTCTCCGCGAACGCGTCCGGGTGGATCACGGAGAGTCCCGGGTTGTCAGTCATCCTCAGCATCACAAGGCTAGACAAGGGGCCGAACGTCCTGTCCTCGATCCGGTGTAAGGTGTTGAAGGACAGGTCCAGGTAGGCCAGTTTGCGCAGATTCCCAAAGGTGGACTCTGAGACTTCAGTAAGGGAGTTGTTGCTGCAGTCCAGGTAGACCAAGTCCGAGAGGTAGTTGAGGGCGAGCGGCGGAAGTTCCACGATGCGGTTGTTAGAGATGATGAGCTGCCGCGTAGCCAGCGGCAGGTTGACCGGGAAGCTGGTCAGGTGCTGCCCGGCGCACTGGACCACCAGCTGGTCATCGCACACACACCTGTCCGGGCAGCCGGCGGAGACGGCCGGGGACGCGGTGACCCCCGCGGTGAGGAGGAGACACGCTATGAGCCGCAGTTGCGCGCTTGGCTGCGGGGCAAAACGCATGACACCGCCAAGGGCTTCATCCACCCCGTCTGGACCGAGGCAGCCGCGGTCACATTCCTCATTGATACACCGAGAGCAAGCTGCTCGTCCCAGAATTTGTTCCCACCGAGTTCGGACCCAGACGTGTCTCCCCTGGCACGCTCATGTGTTGCGCGTAACGACCTCAGTTCATCATGCCAGCTGTTTCCGGATCCAGCGCGCGTGCGACCGCCGGATGCCTCCGTCTTGCTTCAGATTTCAATCATCTGTCGGGTTTATGTGCTATTCGCACCTTGTAAAACCTCCCCGCGTCCGGGAATGGCGCGCGGTCAGTTGTTCTGGCGCTGCCATCCGCTCTCTCGCTCTCTCTAATCAAACAGGGCGACGGGTGGGGGCGGCGGGGGGTGGGGGGAGGTGACCTCACGCTCTGGAGAAGGGAGCGAATACCCCAACGCGTGGAGGTCAGCAAAGTATAATCCACGCACATTTAGCATTCGATAAAGGTCGTGATGCCATTTGCGGCTCCGCGCGCCTGGAGTGTTTCAGTGTTTCCAGAATCAAAATAACGTCACAGCACGTGCATGCCAGCCTGCCTCAGGTGTATGGAGGCAGAAGATGAGCAGGTGCACCAACACCTGGACTCAGGCTGAAGCTTTCTGCTCCATCAGTCATATCTGAGTTCAGATTGTAAACTGAATCAGTAGAACTGGGTCGGATGGGTCAGCAGCTGCAGGGTTATTTTTTGACATTCTGTGGTCTCAGCGTGGAATCCTGAGTCTATTCTTGGTGCTGTGTGTAGGTGTTGAAGTGCTGAATCAGACTGATGGGGGAGCAGGAGGAGGAAGACAGATGTGCTGCTGACCCAAAATCTGTCATCTATCAACCCCCTGATGACCTCTGACTGTCGTTTCCACAAACATCCTCAAAATTCAACTGATGTGTCTTCCTGCGTTTACAAAGACCGCCTGTGTCATGTTTTTAGTCCTGCTCTCCCATGTGGACTGAGCTAATCCCCGCAGCTGTTTAATGTCAAGCGTTTTCAGTGACAGGAGGACATCTAGTGTTGATACTCTGGTAATGTTGCCTTATCTCTGTGCAATTTTCACGATACACAAGCATGCAGTTCCACTCAAACCTGGACTGGAAGACACATGGTCGGATAATGTCCTGGTATTTCTATTTGTAACATTTTTATGTTACATTTAGTCTGTCCATCACTGCTGATTACTAGATTGGTCACATTTTAAAATGACATGTTGGTTTTTAAGAAGGGTGACCTGAGGGTGTGTTCCAACTATAGGGGGATCACACTCCTCAGCCTCCCTGGAAAGGTCTACTCCAAGGTACTGGAGAGGAGGGTCCGATCGATAGTTGAATCTCAGATTGAGGAGGAGCAATGTGGTTTTCGTCCTGGCCGTGGAACTGTGGACCAGCTCTATACCCTTGCAAAGGTGATGGAGGGGGCATGGGAGTTTGCCCAACCAATCCACATGTGCTTTGTGGATTTGGAGAAGGCTTATGACCGTGTCCCCAGGGGCACCCTGTGGGGGACGCTCCAGGAGTATGGGGTGGGTGGCTTTCTGTTAAGGGCCATTCAGTCCCTTTACCAGAGGAGCGTGAGTTTGGTCCGCATAGCCGGTAGTAAGTCGGACCTGTTCCCAGTGAGGGTTGGACTCCGCCAGGGCTGCCCTTTGTCACCGGTTCTGTTCATTACTTTTATGGACAGAATTTCTAGACGCAGCCGTGGTGTGGAGTGTGTCGAGTTTGGTGGCAGGAGAATCTCGTCTCTGCTTTTTGCGGATGATGTGGTCCTCCTAGCTTCATCCAGCTCTGACCTTCAGCTCTTGCTGGGTAGGTTCGCGGCCTAATGTGAAGCGGCTGGGATGAGGATCAGCACCTCCAAATCTGAGACCATGGTTCTCGACCGGAAAAGGGTGGCTTGCCACCTCCGGGTCGGGGGAGAGGTCCTACCTCAAGTGGAGGAGTTTAAGTATCTCGGGGTCTTGTTCACAAGTGAGGGTAGGAGCGATCGGGAGATCGACAGGCGGATTGGTTCAGCGTCTGCAGTGATGCGGACACTGAGCCGATCTGTCGTGGCGAAGAGGGAGCTGAGCCAGAAAGCCAGGCTCTCGATTTACCGGTCGATCTACGTCCCAATCCTCACCTATGGTCATGAGCTTTGGGTAATGACCGAAAGAACGAGATCGCGGATACAAGCGGCCGAAATGAGTTTCCTCCGTAGGGTGGCCGGGCTCAGCCTTAGAGATAGGGTGAGGAGCTCGGACATTCGGGAGGGACTCGGAGTAGAACCGCTGCTCCTCCGGATCGAAAGGAGCCAGTTGAGGTGGTTTGGGCATCTGGTCAGGATGCCTCCTGGACGCCTCCCCGGGGAGGTGTTTCGGGCATGTCCTGCCGGCAGAAGGCCCCCGGGTCGACCCAGGACACGTTGGAGAGGTTACATCTCCAATCTGGTCCGGGAACGTCTTGGGGTCCTGCCGGAGGAGCTGGTGGACAAGGCCGAGGAGAGGACGGTCTGGAGCTCCCTAGTTGGGATGCTGCCCCCGCGACCCGGACCCGGATAAGCGGAGGAAGACGACGACGACGACGATGTTGGTTTTACTGAGAAACAAATCGATGGTTGTGATGTCTCACAGGCAGGGCTTAAGCTGATCAGACAGAGGAGGCTGCCTCAAAACTGCAAGTTAAAGGGAACGGTCTGCCAAAGTTCTGTGTTTGGCCCATTTTTATTATTCTCACATTCTTGGACAAAATGTTCAAAACTTAAAGGGGAACAAGGCAGTTTTGGCTAGTGTCTGCTTGTAGAACCGACAGCAAAACCTATCTGCTCGCTGTGTTCCTCTCTTTAACACCTCACTCCTACTTCAAGCTGGAAGCATCTGCAGCACCGAATGGCAGCAGAACAGCACTGCTTAAAATTACAATCAATTATTGTCTATGGGGGCGATTCAAACCAGCCGTGATGCGGACATTTTTGGACGCATCCTGCACCGCTAGAGGTTCTGGTTCTGTTTTTTTCTGTGTGCTGCTTCTGGGACACGACAATTTCTGCAGTTAACATAGAAGCAGATAGAAAATCATAGTTTCAATGTAAAAAAACCCCGTAACTTTCAAAATAAAAGTCTATTGCAGCGATGCAATTTCATTTTGTTGTAGATTACATCAATACAAGTGTGACAGGGTGAGTGTCATTGTATCCCGATTAATCATGCACCCTGGCTACTTGGCCAACGGGATGTCCCTTTGGCTGACTGGTTAGCACACGTGTCTCACCCCTGAGTCTGGGGACTGAATCCCGCTCGAGCCCTCGTTTCTCCACCTTACCACACAAGTAACCTAATGGCTTATTTACTCCCAGTATTGTTCCAGAAGTGCAGCGGTGTGTTTTTCATGGCTTTAATCCTGGCAGTGGAGAGCAACAACATCATATATGACATCAAACAGCGATATCAAACGTGATTTCCTTCTTTTTGGGTTAATGGGTTAAACTCAAGGGATTTTTGTCATCTCGCGAGTCCAGCAAGGAAGCCGTTCTGCGGCCAAGACTCCTGGTGTGAACTGGACTGCAGCCAAGTTGCTAGTAAACCGTTCTGCTCCACTGATGCTTCCAGTGTGAAGCAGGGATTAATCTAACAGCTGAAATGTCTCCCCAGCCTTCCTTAGTGTCTACAGGAGCAATTCCTTGCTAAATTAAACAAATCAGTTGTGTTCATGATGCAAAACATGCAGGAAATGTGTTGAAACCAGTCTGCAGCGCCAGGGACGTCCACTCAATTTTTTTTCTAAGTCCCAACAGAGCAGCCCGCCAGTCTGAAGTTGCAAATGGAAAATTCTGGCCACCGGAGGCAATAGGGGCTGGGTTGTCTTTCATTACCCTTCATTTACTCCTTCACTGCCAATGACGACTAAAGTCGTCATTTGCATTTTTTTTACTGTTTGAGCATCGGAACGAGCCTCCGTGCTGAGAGAACAAACATCTCAGCTCTGAAGCCGACCTTCATCCGCATACGTCACACGTCACATGACCAGAAAGCAGAAAATCCATGTGTTAGGAGATCGTTTTGGGCTGTTCCTATATAAAAAGTGAGGCGCGAACCGGAAAAGCGTCTGCCGACCACAATTCAACAATGGATTATGAAAGAACGGATAACGCTCGAAAATTGCAGATTATTCCTGATGCAATAGATGAGTCTCCTCTTTGTTTTGCTTGTTTTGGCGTCAACATCATCCTAGCGCGCAACGTTCTGTGACTCTTAAAAAACAGAAAAAGGAGCGAGAAACGCTGGCAGCGAAGGCCTGTAGTGATCAGGAAACGGCTGGCAGCGAATGAGTCAATTAAGCTCACTCAGAGACAATTAATGCATTCCATTCTTGGATGACATTCTGTGCTATGCCACAACATTTACAGAGCATGTCAAGTGTGGCCGACCAGTTCTGAGAGCTCTCCAGAGACATGGTGTTAAATTGAGACCGGAAAAATGTGAACTGTTTCGCAGAGAAGTCAGATATGCAGGTTGAGTTGTATCTGAAGAGGGTGTAAGAACTGACCCAAAGGACTTGGAGGCAGTACAGTCTCAAAAACAAAAGACACCCCAGACAGTTGGTGATGTAAAATGGCTACTTGGCATTTCGAGTTACTACCGAAGCTACATACAAGACTTTTCACGTATTGCAAAGCCGAGCTGTTAAAAGTCAAACCTGGCACGTCAAACCAGGTGTCTCACCAGACAATACGTGAAGGCCCCCAGCTGTCATCCAAAGCCCTTGAGTACCAGCAAGTACTTGAACAGTTTCATGACATGCTCACCAGCCCCTCCAGTTCTGGCCTACCCTGATTTGAACACAGCTCTTCTCTTCCTCCATACCGATGCCCCAGAACAAGGCCTTGGTGCTGTCCTCTACGAGCGTCAGGACGGAAAGTTAAAGGTGATAGGATGTGGATCCAGGACACTAACAGCTGAAAATAATTATCATCTCAATAGCGGCAAGCTTGAATTCCTCACACTAACATGGGCAGTGAACCACGTGTATTACACTCCATATTTTATGATACATACTGATAACAATCTCAATTCTGTGGGACATCGCTGAGTCAAGGAACTATCAGATATTTGCCTTGAAATCAAGTACAGACCTGGCAGGACCAATGTTGACACTGGCACACTGTCTTGCCTGCTGCTTAATATCAACAAGTATGCTGATGAGTGCACGGAAGAGCCATCGCTTGCAGTGATTCAAGCAACCGGGAATGGAGCTAGAGCAACTAAAGACAGTGATGTTGCTTGGGTTGCTGCCCTAGCCCTTGCTGCAATAGCAACTCAAGAACCACAGTCCCTTGTCCCCACAATTAACTAAGATGA